AACGATTAATCACTTATTGTAGCGCCAAGCTACTTACTTGTAGAACATCAAACACCTCCATAAAATATATGTGTGGGCCGGGGGGCGTGCTTCTTGATTCTCGAAATGTCAGGAACCTGTCATTCTCACAACGTCAGAACCCATATTCCCCGGAGAGAGGATTTTCGTGTTTTTGTGTTCGTGATTATCAGACAGGATTACGACAATCTTACTTTCCTAAACGGTTTTGGGACTGAGAACAAAATTCAGAAAGACAAAAGTTACAAAAACAAAATGCCAAGCTGTTTTGCCACCCTTGTGAAAGAATGTTATGGAATATCAGTAGCTATTTATAACAAAATAAGGATTCAATTACATTCAAATGATCTGCTACGCATTTTCTTCGCCATGTGTAACATGGTATCTGGGAACATAATGCGAATACTTAATACATAGCTTTAAACTGTGAAGTACATGCAATAGTGAATTTAAAGTATAACTCCCGATTTGGACAGCTTGATTTAGGACACACCGCCCAGGGTTTCCATTGCGGTCCCAGTGGGTTTGCAGTTATGTCTGAAACAACAGACGATTATTGTTGTGATACACTAATATAAGGCATGGCGAGGGCGCGGTTGTACTTTACTCTTAACCGAACCGTAAAATGTATAATAGTATCTTCCCTCCAAAGACAGAATAATGAGAATATTGGTACGTGTGGACAGTCCTTTGAAGAATGCGCCACCACAGTATACCAGATTTAAACATTGGAGCCCTCTGCCTTCCTCATGTGGTACCCCAATGATGACAATAGATATTTTCTACTAGTATGACCAGCCCAATAGATTCACAGGGAGGAGGAGAAGGAGGAGGGGGAGTGGGAGGAGAAGAGGGATGAGGAAGAGCAGAAGAGGAAAAAGAAGGTGGAGAGGGGGGACGAAGAAGAAGAAGAAGAAGAAGAAGAAGAAGAAGAAGAAGAAGAAGAAGAAGAAAAAGAAGAAGAAGAAAGATAGATAGATAGATTGATAGATAAAAAGAGGGATAAAGATAGAGAAAGAGAAAGAGAGAAGGAGAGAGAGAGAAAGAGAGAGAGAGAGAGAGAGAGGAGAGAGAGAGAGAGAGAGAGAGAGAGAGAGAGAGAGAGAGACAGAGAGAGAGAGAGAGAGCTGGGGAGGGGCAATTAACTGCACAACAAATTTCCCTCAAAGTTCTTGTCTTTAAACTTTATGGTGACCCGCAGCTTAAAATGCATGAAAACGTTCAGACCACAGAAGCCTGGTAACTTGATTGGAGTCGCTTTCGTAGTACATGTTGTTTATTACTTGCGCTTTAGTGCAGTCTCCCCAAATTCACTCGGGTGGTGAAACCTGATATAATTTGCCAGGTCTTCTGCAAATAGATAAGTTTACTTGAGATGATAATCAACTCCCCCGGAACCGCCCCTTAAAAAGAAAAGATTTAAAAAAACAAAAGAAATGCAGACACATCCTTGCTCCCTTTACTAAGGTGCAGGTATACTTCATAGATTAGTTGTGCCCTTCTGAGAATATTGTCTTCCGCTCGTGAGTCTACGCTGATACATTGTACTTGTAGACTGTGTTTACTCTTAGCCATACATGTAATTAAGTGAATTGTTTGGCGTGTGGTGCAGATCTAGATCTATGTGTTAATGTAAAAATACTTAGCTGTGCGTACCCTGAATGTTCTCCGAAATTATCAGCTGGCGGACAAAGAAAAAGTGACACTCAGCCGAAGCCTGAGAGATGTCAGACTGTGGGTCAAAGGTCAATACATGATGCTTTGCTTCTACTTGAAGTCGGCGCTATCCTTAAAGATGCAATAAAAAGCGCGATTCAGCCTCACGCAGTGCCTGCCACGTTGCTGGAACACCGTCTCGAGATCCCAAGTCAGAGGTACTATCGACTCGAGCGAAATATGAGGTTGTTGTGGCTGGGTATTAGATTCCCCAGTGATTTCCTCTTCTCTTGGAAACATCCCTTTCAGTTCTTTATGAGTAAGAGTTTATCTACTGAAACTGGCGTGCATTTTTTCCAATTATTCCAAATTGCAGGTCTGTGTAGTGGTTGTGGTAGTGGTAGTGGTAGTGGTAGTGGTAGTAGTAGTAGTAGTAGTAGTAGTAGTAGTAGTAGTAGTAGTAGTAGTAGTAGTAGTAGTAATAGTAGTAGTAATAGTAGTAGTAGTAGTAGTAGCAGTAGTAGTAGTAGCAGTAGTAGTAGTAGTAGTAGTAGTAGTAGTAGTAGTAGTAGTAGTGGTAGTAGCAGTAGTAGTAATAATAATAATAATAATAATGATAATGATAATAATAATAGTAATAGCAGTTCGTCCGCCAATGTCTGACGATGCCCAATACATCCGCAGAGGAGAATATTGTTTCTCCAATGAAATAGAAGAATTGGAAGAATTAAAGGTTACGATGACTTGTGGCTTCTGCTGTGGTCGATGAGACCAATTGTGGCAGAGAGACCAGTTCTGGAGAGAAAGTTTGCCACATTGTGAACAAAGGCTCCACTTCCACGTGTGAATGTATGCAGCTTTCAGGCTTCTATTTTGGATTCAACAATTCTTATTCGTGAAGCCTCATATAATTTGCTGCCCACTGTGACTGCTGCTTTCCAGATGGGTCTGTTAGGAGCATGGCTCTCTCATGTCGAAGGATTCATGTTGAAGAACTTTAGAGGCATTTTCAGAGTGTTTGTACATTCTTTTTCTTTTAAGGAATGCGGTTAACTGGAAGTTAGCCTCCATATGTATTTAATATGTTAGGAGTTTTCTGTCGATTTGCGCAATCGGTAACGCATTTTGTGGATCCCTGGAATGTGATTGTGCAACAATCCATCGATTGTTGCGCATTCTATAGATCCACAAAACGCGTTTTTTATTCAAACGAATAACGTTAATTTCCGCTTAGGCAATGTCAACAATATGGATATGGACGCTCATCTGATGTTATCAGCTTATTTCATTGCAGAAAAACGAAAGACTCGACCCTCGGGTAAGATCTAAGATTCGTTGAGCATTCTATGGATCCACAAAATGCTTTGCGCGATCCACAGACCGCCCATATCGACATAACACGCCTAACATAATATATATTTCAACGCACACTCACACTAAATTTACTTCACTTAAAGGTATTTCATGACATAAAATATTAGACTTCTAACAGGGGGGATAACTATATCTATTCATTCTCATTTTCAAGAAGGACCGGATTGTTTGAGGTTGCTACATTTTTTGTTTGTTCTTTTTGTTATGCATCTATTTTTTTAATCTTTAAGTCATCAAATCACCTTGGGCCACCCGAGAGCCAGAATGAAACTGCTTGTGGCCTCATCTGGCCTGCAGGTCGTAGTTTGACCATTTTTGGTTTAGAACACGGCTGTGAAGAAGAAAAACAACACACCTTTGTTAAGATCAAACATCTCCACCTACACTGAAGCTTCTGTTGACACAGATTGTAATTGATTGACTAATTACAAATGTTTTCACCCCCGCGACAGAGTTTGGATCAATTAGAAGGAAGGCAGAGGCGGCAGCATCATTGAGCTAGGGGAAAACGGTGATGCTCGATAGAATATCTATGACCCACGGTAATTGAACCCGTGCATTTTGCTGTTAAAGCAAATACTAACTATGACACCAATAGCGTTTGTCTAGCTGAGAACCTGGATTCTCTGTCAGCGAACACGCACCTTGTTGTTTAACTTCGAGGAAATTACTCTGTTCCACGCCCACTCCCTTCCCCCACGCCCACCCCCCCCCTTGAGGCCAGAGTTATGATGAGGACAGAGTTGTCACCGTTCAAACTGACCTTCCAAATGGCCTACATCGAGTTTGTCCAGGCTTTGACTTTCACAACTAAAACTGGAGTCAAAACATCAAATTGAATGAAATCTCATACTTCTTTCTGTAGAGAGATTTTGCTTTTAGTTTGCTGTCTTGCGATTCGTTTGAGCCAAATTCACTGTTTTTCTGAAAATCAGGCGTGACCCGAAAAAGCTGTCCTGTGTTAATCTTTCATAAATTTAATTTTAATTTGATGTAGCCGCGTGTCACATTTCAGCGTTGACGATTTTAGAAACTCATGAAAGTTTTGACTGAACAAGACTGTTAGTCGATAGATAGCAACGAACGACTGTGTCCTTTCTCGGGTAGAAATATAGAGAAAAATAGCGTTCATGTCTGATTTTGTGACATTTCGTCCGTCACATAAGCGCTGGAAATACAAAAAAATATATCTATTGCTGATTGATAGCCCCTGCATTCTAACGCCAACGCTAGTGAAAAAATAAGCCCGTGGTAAAGAACCGGTAAAGACAAGGCGAGTGACCAGTGATGGGTGAAGACCGGGGAAAACTATAGGTTTAATGATATTTGCAACACTGTAAGATTATTTAGGAAGCGGTACCTCCGAATTTAACGTCCATCTTCGGAAGGACCGATCTATCTATTTATCTATCTATCTATCTATCTATCTATCTATCTATCTATCTATCTATCTATCTATCTATCTATCTATCTATCTATCTAGCCATCTACTTATCTATCTCACTATCTATTTAACTAACTTACTACATATCTATCTCGTACACATAATAATGAAGAACATGTTTACTGTTCACTTCAAACAGCATTTAATTTCAACTAGCAC